TCCAGCTCCCTGGGGACAGATCCCTGGGGGCCGGACACACTGGCTCCGCCATGCCAGCCAACACCCTGGAAACCCTTGAAGCATAAGTTTTAAGGAAAGGGAAAATAGTGCCTGTCATCCACCATCAGCTCTGCGTGGGACAGTTACTTCCTTAGATCTGTCCCGTTCCGTTTCCTCCAGCCCGTTTGGCTGTCAAAGGGGTGAGTTATGAAGCGTTAAAAGAAGTGGGTGCCCCCACCAAGAGTGCGCTTTGTGCTTAGTGACCTGCTTCCCGATGTCAGCACCCATGTGGAAGGGAGGGAGGTCATTCAGTGGAGACACCATTCAGTGGTCCCACTCAGCCAGGGGACCGCGGTCAGCATCAACAGGGGTGAGTCGTGTCGATAGCAGCTCCCTGTGACATGATGTGTTGAGAAAACCCCATCACCCGTCTACTCACGAGAAAAACAGCAGACGAATCCCGATAGAGGGACAGTCGACAGAATAGCTGACCGGCCCTCCTCACAGCTCTCATGGTCCCCAAGACGAGGACAGTCTGAGTAGCTGTCACAGCCCAGAGGAGCCTGAGGAGATGTGACGACTCAATGTCACCTGGTGTCCTGGGTGGGTTCCTGGGAGAGAAAAAAGGCATTAGGGAAAAAGTAATGAAATCCAAATAAAGCACGGAATTTCGTTAATGGTAATGTACCTGTGCTTTTCCTTAGTTGTGACAAATACACCAGGTGGTACAGGATGTTAACTTCAGGGGATCTGCACCAGGAGTACACAGGAACTCTCTGTGCTCTGTGCAATTTTTACGAAAATTGAGAACTATCCTAAGAGGACAAGTTTAAGCAAACAAACCAACGGAAGCAGAGTGAGATCAAGAAGCGTCTGGACACGGAGTCATGCTGAGGAGGGGCAGGGAGTCTCCACAGGGTCCCTGGGCCCCAGGTGAGGGGACATCTATGTCTGGGGCGGGGGAGTGTCCACAAAGGAGCAGGGACTCACATGAGCTGACGGAGCGCCAAAAGCACATCTGTGTCTCTTTGCCTGCGTCCCCGGAGTCATTTCCAGCTGTACCCTGTCGATTATTGATCATAGACGCATACATCTTCTTAGAAGGGGAGAAGACCTCAGAGCCCACCAGCTCCGACCATCTGGTGTGAAGTATGGAAAAACTGGGGCTTGCAGAGCAGAAGCAATAGGCCCACTTTTCCATCAAACAGAATTATTCCCACTGTGGCTTGTCCCTCGAGCCAGCTGATGACAAGCCCAAGAGCAGACACTCTGGGGGCTGGGGTCTTCCTCAGTCATCTAGTGCTGGGTTGTGTGTGGGGTGCTCGTCACTGCCCGTGGCAGGGCTGGGACAGACTGGCCACCTGCGGACGGCTCTGAGGTCCCATCCCATCCTGGACATTCCTGGTGGCCTCTGGGCCGGGCACTCCCAGGGCTCCTGCGTGAGCTTCTGGCCCGGCCAGCCCAGGTTCTCATCACGGCAGTGCTCTGGGAACTGCTTGCAGGAGGCAGCCCCTGCACACCTGCCCCCGTCGGGGAAAGGTGCAACCTCCAGTGGAGACATGTCTTTGTCTCCCTTAATTGACAGAGATTTTATGCTGGGAAGAAAATATACAGAAGGTAGCAAATTGAATCTCAATTCACTGAATCTTATTAACCTGTTCTTGGGAAAAAAAGATTTCAATAAAAATTTAAAAGGAAGAGAAGCAAGAATGCTGCAAACTAGAAACTAAAGTGAGGTGGCGCAGCAGTTCCCAATTTGGAAGCCGTCAGGTGGGGAGGTGGGCGAGCTTGTTCTCCACCGGAAGGTCTGGGTGGGGCCGCTGCTGAGCGGGCGCCATCCCGGCCGTCCATCTCAGGGTGTGGACCTGGGCAGCAGGGTGCTCACGCGAGGGGCGAGGCCCAGCGAGGATCGTGTGGACGAGTCTGAGACGTCCCCACGACGCGTTCACTGCAGTGTGCCTGTAGCCCAGAGGGGCCACTCCTGCCTCAGCATCCTTTCCTCCCTCCACCTGCCAGGCCAGGGCCCAGGTTAGGACGCTGTGCAGCGCACCCCAAGTCGGTCTCCCCACTGCCCTTCACACATCTGCTTCTTGAGATATGACTTACACACCCTAAGTTCACCTTTTTAAAGTGTACAGTTCAGTGGTTTTAATATATTCACAAGGATGTGCAACCCTCACCGCTATTAATTCCAGAACATTTTTATCACCCCTAAAGGAAACCCTGTTACTGTTAGCAGTCACGCCCTGTTCCCCCTGCCCCCAGCTCCTGGCGCTGATCTACTTTCTATCTCTACAGATCTCTCTACTGATTCTGGGCGTTTCATGTAAACGGATCAGGCGACATGTAGCCTCATGTGTCTCGCCTCTTTTCCTTCGTGTATTGTTTTCAAGTCCATGCACATTGTAGCACGTGCCAGTGCTTCTTTTTGTGGCCTGTAGGGGTAGACCACATTTTCTTTATCCGTCCATCAGTAACGGACACTAGGTTGTTTCCTCTTTCTGCTATTATGAGTGATGCTGCTGTGAACGTTCCTGTACCCAGTTTTGTGTGGGCATATATTTGTACCCAAGAGTAGAATTTCTAGGTCAACAGTAACTCTTAGTGTCTGAGGAACTATCAGGCTGTTTTCCGTAGTGGCTGTACCATTTCGCATTCCCACCAACACTGTCTGAGAGTTCTCATCTCCCCACATCCTCGCCAACACTTGGAATTGTCTGTCTTTTTGCTTGTAGCCATCTTCATGGGTGTGAAGTGGGGACATGTTCTTAATGGGTCTGTGGATGCCCCAGAGTTTTGGGGGAGCTGGCACAGCCTCTGCCTGCACCGTGGCCTGGCCTCCCTGGTGTGTATGTGTTGTATGCTAGCTTTGACAGTTAGTGATATCGTCGGCAGCCGAGAGGCCTCCCTCCTGCAGATGTGTGGGGTCCTCTGCCATATTGGGAAATGGCTGACAGCACCACGATGCCTTCCTGGGGTGAGAGGACTTGGGAGTGATCCTCCAAGAACCTCTTAATCATGAAATGAGGGTGGAATTGGGGGCTTCCCAGGCCTGTGCTGAGTGGGGTCAGAGGGAAGAGTGTTCCTGGGGTCCTGCCTGGTTGCAAGGCTGGCTGGAGGGATGAGGACAGACGTCACTTGGTGCTCCTCATGTGGTCCTTCCCAATGTGGCTGAATCCGCTTATGCCAAGATGCGGCCTCACCCCAGGAAGTCCCCACGTGTGTCCCAGGACCAGGAAGGTCCAGATTGCACATTAGGCCAATGGGCCTGGTGACAGAGCAGAGGGTTTGGGGCCTTTGACCCCTGTAAAGAGACCAATTGTGGGTCCCCTGCTGGCCACAGAATTGGCCCCTGACCTCCCTGTGGGAGGGGCTCTCTCTGCAGCCCCCCCCCCGGCCAGGCCTTTCCTTGCTGCTGGTCTGGGGTGGAGCCCCTGTCCTGACTTGTCCCCGCGCCCTCCATATTTTCCCTCTCTGAACAGATCCATTACTTTAAAAAGAAGGAAGAAACTGAACTTGAAGAGGAAAAACGAATCCAGCTCTCCCTGCTGTTGTAGTGGGTGGGTTTTTCTGCATAACAGCTGGGTGTGTGGAAATGCCGGGGTTTCCATGGTAACCAATTACAGCTCACAGATGACGGAGCTCACAAATAGCTTCACCTGTGTGTGAAGTTACGCCAGGGCGGGCAGGCGAGCACAGGCTCAGGTACCGCGGTTTTAATTTCCTGGGGCAATATGTCTCGAAGTACTGATGGCAGGCAGGTTTGCCTGTGGCTGCTCTTCGTTCAGCCTGCCCAGTGGGGCCCTGAGGGGGCCTGGTGGTACCTGATGGTGGCCGGTGGTCCCCTCTGGGCTGAGGCGCCACGCCTGCTTGGGCAGCATCTCATTTCTCTGCGGCCTGCACCGCCGTCCAGTGTGCAGAGTGGTGGGAGCAGCAGAGGCTCCACAGCCTCCTCCCTGAGTCACTGGGGCTGCAGAGTTGGTGCCCTTATGTGCAGGGGGAATTTCACACTGACCTAATTTCTGCCTGCTGTGACAGTGGCCCCGGTCCCTGCACGGAGCTTGCCTGGCTGGGCAGGGAAATTGCACCCCAGCAGAAACCTGCGGAGGCATTAGCATAATGAGCAATTCTTAATCTCTTCAGCAAAGGCACTTTCATTCTGATTAAAACACTGGGGCCTTATTTGGGGATAAGTCCTTTTTGGTAATTAGCGCTCATTACTGCAAGTTTCTTCTTTTCAACATCTGATGACCGGCGGGCAGCAGCATGGTCCTCGGTATCGGTGAGAGTGGGGTCAGCCCCACGTGGGGTTCAGTGCGGAGTGAGGAGGGGGAGCACAGACGGACACACCCACACAGACACCCTGACACACACCGACACACTCATTCACGTGCTGATGCACTCACACGCACCGTACACTCAGCCTCACACTCTGACACACACTCACACTGACACTATCTCACACACACACCCGACACGCAATTCTGAAACACACCCCTGTGCTCACCCTCAGTGACACACACACACACTCACTCACTGATTTAGTCCCTTTTAAAGTCATGTGACACCTCATAAAGAAAAATTGCCAAACTTCATTTCCCCCGGCCTGGTTTGGAGCAGCTTTCTGGCTGTGGCTCCAAGCACCCAATGCCCTCTCCCACCCCCACCTGCAACAGGCACTGAAGTTCTGGGTTCATGTCAATTTTCAGACGTGATGTTGATGAGGAGCACTGACTCTGCCTGTAACCTGGCCTCAATTATCTGAGCTGGTGGGATGGGGAGGGTGGGCCCTGACCCCCAGCCCTTCCACGGGGCTCCCACTGTGCTCTGCATTTTCAGGTCCACTCCGTGAGCCCACCTAGCTTCTCCTTCCCTACAGCCCGGCCCGCTGAGAGGCGGCCCTGAACCCTCACCTGGCTGTGCAGGGTCTGCCCTTTCTCCAGCCTTCCCTGGGGCTGTGGGGGTGGATGATCAGGTTTCAGAGGGCACCTGCACTGAAGATGAACCGGGGAGGCGGGGAGGCGGGGAGGCGGCGCATCGGCGCATCGCCAGGAGACGCCCTGCGCAGAGCCGGGTAAACTTTCTGCTCATCCACAGCAGGTCTCGTGTTCCTGAGCACATCCAGAGGAGGCCAAAAATAAGAAGCTTTCCCGTGTACAGCATGTGCGCTGCTTCAACACATGCATATTTGACGAGATGCCAGGGGGAGGGGAGACGGTGGGGTGTGCAGAGTGCAGAGCGCGTGACAGGGGCTCAGGAGATGGCTGGCCTGTGCGCCCCACGGGAAGCCCAACAGGTTACCTTCTGCCCCTCCAAACCTCAGGAGAGAGGACTGCGCTCTTCGAGTCACCCAGCTTGGGTCGGGTGACTTCTGTGACCTGGAGGAATGCACCGGGTCCTGGGCCCGGAGCGTAGACTGTGCTCAGGGCTCGGCCGTTCCCTCACCTGCTGGCCTCTTGGTGCCTCCGTTTTATTCTGGGCGAAACCAAGCAGAGGATGGAAGGCCTTTGAGGCCATCTTGTCATGGGGGTGGTTTGAGGGTTGGTTTCCCTCCCATGCGGTGGGCTGTGTGTTACCAACCAGCCGTGTGTGTTGTGAGCTCCTTGGAAGAGACGTGAGGTGGGGACGAGCTCTTGTAAACACACGCAGTCAGGACTGTTCTTTTAGGATGCCAGTTAATAGATCGCCCTTGAGTAGCCTTTGAAGTGAACTAATGAAGGGGTTCATTCCCTTCTGCAGTTGGGATTAGCGCTCATCACAGAGGGAGTTCCCTCGTCCTGGGGGGGGTGGAGAGACGGCCCCCGGGGCCCCACACTGACGCTGCTCTCTCTTTTCCACGCAGTTCCGTGTGCATCCGCTGGCCGGGCTGCTCCCTAGGAAGCCATGCTTGGATACTTATAGCCATGTTTCAGCTCGCCATGGATCTGCCCGCCTGTGAGTCCCTGGGCCCCGGCCCCGAGTTCCGGCTCCTGCCGCGGCCAACGCACCGGCCTCCCAGGTTGTGGAGTTTTAAAAGTGGACAGCCGGCCCGGGTCCCCGCCCCGGTGTGGAGCCCGCGCCCGCCCCGCGTGGAGCGCGGTCACGGGCAGATGCAGAGTCCCCGTGCCAAACGGGCGCATAGACCCCGGGACCAGGTGGCCGCCCTGGTTCCCAAAGGGGGTCTCGCCAAGCCCCCAGCTGCTGTGAAATCCAGCCCGTCCCTCGGCTCCTCCTCCTCCTCGTCGTCGTCCCCAGCGGGCAGTGGGGCCACCACGGACCAGCAGGCCCTCCTGCGGAGGGGGAGGAGGCACCTGCAGGGGCCCGGCTTCAACGGTTTTGACTTCCGAGGCAGCAGGCCCACCACGGAGACGGAGTTCATTGCCTGGGGGCCCACCGGGGAGGAAGAGGCCCCAGAATCCAACACATTTCCGGGCTTCTACGGCCCCACCACAGTCTCCATCTTCCAAACTCGAAAGACAACTGTGGCCACCACAACCACCACCACTATGGCCACCACGGCCACTTCCATGACGCTGCAGACTAAGGGGGTCACCGAGCCCCTGGACCCCAGGAATAGGATCCCAGTTGGGTTTAGCACAACGGAGCCTTCCACCAGTCCCAGCAAAGACGGTGGCCAAGACAAGCCCCCACGGATTCTGGGGGAGACCTCAGGTACGGCCCTCTCTCTCTTTTGGTTGGGGTTCGCTCGTAGGGGGGAGGGATGCTGAGCTGTGCCCGTGTGATGCTCCCTTGTGGGAATCTCCGTTTCCCAGTGGTGGAGCCTAAAACAATGATGGTGAAGGGCTGGGAGTTGGGTGTGGGGCCTGGGGGAGGGATGGGGCGTTGCGTGTCCCTGAACTTGCACACACGTGTGTACTGGCAAGTGTAGGTTGTGCTCTAGAAGGAGGGAGCCAGGCCGTTTTGGCTGGTGGAAGGAAAACGGAGAGCTCCATCCCTAGTGGGGGTCTGGAAGTGGTTGCTGTGCCCGCCGTGCTTGTCTTACGGGTGTCTGAGCCCCGCCAGACACAGAGCCACATCTTCCCAAAGGGTGGAACTTTGTCTCCTGGGCCAGCCCAGGAGTAAGATGTGGGCATATCTGCTGATGGAGTTAGGGGCCCTGTGGAGTCTTCAAAAACCTTCAAGGGTGTGGCCCTATAATGAGGTGATTGCCAGATTGGTCCAGAATTAGGAATCCCCTTAAACAGCAGGAGAGACTGAGGTCAGGCATAAGGAAGAACTTCCCATGGTGTTAGGTGAGGCTTTGCACACTGATTCAGGTTGGGGAGTGTCCTTTCTCCGGAGACAGGTTACGAGGTGTTTGGAGGGTGCAGGTCAGAGCAAATGGCTCTGGTTCCTCTGCCTCTGTCATTTGACGTGCCTGTGGACGATGACCATTTCTTGGCTTTGAAATATCTACTACAATGTAGTTTTGTTTTCTTTTCTCCTCCTGTACCTTCCCCTCCGCTTGCCTCAGAATTGCTCCTTGAAAATCTCCCAGGCCAAAGCTTGTCCATTCACGGGTAGCCACTGGCGTGTACCCAGCTTCACAGCCAGCTGAGGGAGAGTGCCGAGTCCAGGACCCCTGTGTTCCAGGCCGCCCCCAGCTCCCTTTGTCTCTGTGACCCAGCCGTGGCCCCACGCCCCTCTGTGACTCAGAAGTTCACGGAGCAGACTTTGCCTGCAGTCCTAGACATGCAGCGATGTCCGCTGACTTCATGAAGCGGGATGCAAATGCCGGGGCGTAAGCGCAAAGGGGTGGGGGCTTCCTCCGCTTGTTTCCCCACACTCCCCAGGGTTTGGGCTCTGCGGGCCCCATAGGGGTCCTCTTTACAACCCAGGGGATGGAAGAGAATTGTTCCGCAAAGTCGCCACCGTTTCCCCTGCACTCGGCGTCTGCACTTGAGTCTGCCTCCTGGCCGGCAGGCAGACCACGGCCGGTAGTTGGACGGGTTTCCATGGAGTGGGTGGCTTTTGTGCCATGACCTACTTCCTTCCTTTACGGGACACGAGAACCTCAGTTTTCATTCTGAGCTCCTCTTCCCTAGAGAGCAACGTATCTGTGAAAGGAAACCCAGCTCCATCTCAATGCCAGGGGTCAGGGCCCGGGCCCAGGGATGGAGGCTGTGAGCTGGGGAGCACCATGGTCTGCTCTGCAGGGCCACGCGTAGGCCATCTCCCTCATAGCCTGCTTTCAGAATCTACGGACACAGGGGCCTGCGGTTCATCAGCTCTGTGCCAGGCTCCCATGAGTAGTTCACAAAGCACTTGTTTTTACCTCAGTAAACTCACAAGCCATCATCATAATAGAATTTAGTGCTGAATTCATTTACTGTCATCTCCTCTGCATACGTCACTTACTATATAGACACGGATGAGAAAGCAGGTTCCCATTTATTCTAAATTGCATTTGTTATTACTAAGTTAAACACCCGGGACAGCATTATAAGGCTTAGCAAATTAATTCACAGTACATTGGATGCTGCTAATCCAACTCGACAGATGCTTATCTTGGAAAAGATTTATGGTTCTTCATAATATAATCTGGTGCTACATTAATTTGTTTAGCAAAACAAATTTAAAAGGGGAAAACTCTGTGCGTTTGCTTCTAATGCAGAGCAATGTTAATTCTGGGAAGCGATGCCCGATGCTGAGAAGGGACAGCCGGCAGTCCTGGGCTCCCAGGCCAAGGCAAAGGGAAGAGAAAAAACGTGGAGATGGTTCCCCTCGCCGGGTCCGTCAAAGCCCAGCTGGTGCTACATAAGTTCTGGCGCATCGAGAGCCCAAACAGGAGTCCCCCAAGTCCCCCTTGCTCTGCTGTCGTCAGATGGGGACCCAGGCCCCTGAGTCTGTGTGGAGCACGACCGCCACTCACACTTCTCAGAATCTGATGTGGCAAGGGTGGTTGGGGGTCCCAGACCATGGCAGTTAGCAGCACATGCTTCCAGGCTGCAGATCTGCCTGTGAAGCTGGGCTCTGCTGCACGTAGCTGTGTGACCCTGGGCAGGTTCTCTGCTCTCTCGGCTTCATTTTCTTTATCAGCAAAATAAAGCTCAAAACTGCTCTCCTCAAGGGTTGCTGTGAGGACTCAGTGAATCAACGCAGAGGAGAAACTTCTACAGGGCCCGGCGCCTACGACTCCTCCGTCCCTGCCAGTTGTTTTTATACCCAGCAAGAGTGACTCTGAGGACAGGGTCCAGGTGTCAAGGGCAAATGTGCCCCCAGGGAATCTCGTCATCTCAGACACACCCAGCTTTGCCCACTCACTGCCAGGGCACCTCACATTCTGGAATTAGGGTTCTAGGAAGTGACATGGAGAATTCATTGTCAGTTCTGCTGTCCAAAGAGGGATGTTTGAAATCAAATTTTGGGAGTTGTGAGTTTTATTTTTGCTTCTGTAGAGAAATGTTTAGAATGTTACATTTTCCTGTCTGTCTGTAGCACAGGCATTGCCAAGCATGGAAAGGGCAGGTGGTTGGTGATTTGGGGTATTCTGAACTCCCTCAGGAGCTAACATTACATGGAGTGGCTGCTGGAATCACCCTGCAAGTGAAGTGACCGGGAAATTCCTCCTGGTTTTACTGTAGTGGTTGAGAGTGCTCCCGCCTTCCTTCAAATTTCTGTCCTCACCTTGTGTCAGCTGAACTTGGGTAACTAGCTTATCCTTACTGTGCCTCCATGGGAAATACAGAATTAACCATCTAATAATGTTGTCAAAATTAAGTGAGATAGTGTGTGCCAGGTGCTCAGTGCCTGACACATGAAAGCTACTCAATATATGTTTGCTGCTGTTAATATGATGATGATGGTGGTGGTGGTGATGATGATGATGGATATGATGATGGTGATGATGATAATGGTGGTGATGATAATGGTGGTGATGATGAGGATGGATATGATGATGGTGGTGGTGATATTGGTAGTGATGGTGATGATGTTGGTGATGAAGGTGATGATAATGATGGAGCAGATGATGATGGAGATAATGGTGGTGATGATGATGATGGTGATGGTGATGATGTTGATGGTGGTGATTGATGATGGTGATGGTGGTGGTGATGATGATGATGGTGATGATGATGACAACAATGATGATGGTGGTGATGATGTTGATGGTGGTCATTGATGATGGTGATGATGGTAGTGGTGATGGTGATGATGAGGATGATGGTGATGGACATGATGTTGATGGTGGTGATGGTGATGACAATGATGATGGTGATGATGTTGATGGTAGTGATCAGTGATGATGGTGATGATGGTAGCCATGATGATGATGGTGAGGATGATGACAACAATAATGATGGTGGTGATGATGGTGGTGATGATGTTGATGGTGGGCATTGATGATGGTGATGATGGTGGTGGTGATGGTGATGATGGTGATGATGGTGATGGACATGATGTTGATGGTGGTGATGGTGATGACAATGATGATTATTATCCTTGTAACGACTTGCTGCTACCAACTTGCAGCCCCACTTGCTGCTCCATCGTGGGGGTATTGGATGAGGTCATTTTTGAGGTCCCACGTCCTCAACCCTGACCTTGGTGCTTCATGCAGAGGTGTAGATGGCGCTGGCCAGGAACTGCTCAGGGTGGAAAATCACCTGGCTCAGGTTCACTGAGGCGCTGAGCTCCATCCTCACATGGTGCTGGCAGAGGGTGAGTGTCAGATGGGTCAGAAGTTCACTTAAGGTCGAGAGAGGAAGGCTCCCCACAGCGAAGTGCCATCCTGTGACAGCTCTCTTGCTGGTTGTGTTCTGAGTCTGGAATCACAAAGTCTCCCGGGAGAAAAACAGAAAGTCATTTCCTGGGCTCTAATCTTGAAACTCATAAAGGGAGCTGTGGGGAATGCAAGGCGGCTGCTTTCGGTGACTGCCTTTGCCTGCTGTGGGGCCTCCTGGGCCGTGGGTGCTTGGCGTACAGTTAATGCTCTGTAGAAGTCTCCTGTGCCTGAAGTTCTTAGACCCTGCCTGCTAGCCCCCGGCCCCGAGACTCTCCAGCCTGTTAGACACCCTTGGCACTTTCTTCAACAGCTCATGTTCACAACTCAGAAAGTGCACCGCACAGAAGGGGCCAAGAAGCCCTCTAGATCCCACTGTCATTCAAGGTTTGTTCCCATTTGGATCAATCACGTATTCCTGACACCCAGCAGCTCAAGGACGCATTGGCTCAGATGTCATCCCGGTCCAGCCTGGTAATTTTTACTTTGGAATCCACTCATGCGTTTCCAAGGATGATTTCCAAGTTGCGTTGTCCTTGTCACCAGGAGGCCCTCAGTGTCCTTTAGGTGTGTCCCTCTGAAAGTACGAAGGACAGGCTGGGGTCAGCTCCTCTTGCTCTGATGGTCGGATTGCCTCCGGAGCAGGGCTCAGAGGATGCACTGCTTTCTCCACGCAGGATCGGAGTGGGGGAGTCCGATGTTGCGGGGAGAGACGTGCTCCTCCCCTCTGCCAGCAGCTGCGGTGGTATTTTCAATGCTGAGACCCTTTTAATTAACTGGCTGGCTGTTTGCTACCAGGGAAGTGAATCTGTCCTTAATTTAAAGATATTTGAAGCAAATGACTCATGAACTTCAAAAGTTTTGAGTGGCCTAATTGGGATAAAAGTGTCAAGGAACAAATGAGCATTCAGAGCTCACTAAACGTCCTGAGCTCTGTAGCTGGCGAGGC